CTTCTGCCAAGACCTGGCAAGAAATTTATGACTTTAACCAGAGATAACATGGCAAGAAATTCAAAAAGCTCATTCTTGACTTCTTTTACCAGTAATAAGGTAAACTTGCCAGAGGTGAATATTTTGGATTGTTTTCCCACGCATGTCCTGCAATGACCTTTCTCTGCACTGTTTTAGATCTCTTTAAGTAGGATAACAAGTTGATCTGTCAAATCCTTAAGCTTAAAGGTAACATAATCATGATCAATGACATTCGTCCCAACCAAATCCTGTGATTATAGGATAACAATCTCTAGAATTACACTGGAATTTCCCTTAAGATTCATTTAATTAATTTATTAAAATAGTTTCTTTAGAGCTAACAAACAGCCCATATAGTAATAAGGTTTTTCCTTTTATTCTCTAACTCCAATCAGGGATTTTGGTCAGGTTTTTTTGGGGATGGCTTTTCCACAAATCTTTCTAATCAATTCAGTGGTTTACTTAAATTTTCAAAATTCATTGTTTAAATTGCAAACCAGCCTTGTATGCTGTCTTCATGCCTTGTATTTTAGCATATTGGGCTATTATAGGATGACTATGCTTCTTTTTCACAAAAGAATCTGAGAACCAACAAATTGAACTGGAGTGACCTTAAATTGTTGAATCGCAGCAGTGCTGATAGTAGCCAGGTGTGCCCTGAGGGTACCTGTGTTACCTGCCAGTTACCTGTCCTGTAGAACAACAGGTGTGCTCACCTGGAACGGTTCCCAGGACCTCACCTGTGCTGGTGGGTCACCTGAGATCGTTCTGACCTTGGGTGGTTTGAATGTTGGAGGTTAAGTGTCTGCTGGAATTAGTGTCATGTCACTGCAACTGAAAGAGACTGGCCTAACTTCTGACACCAAGTAGTAAATAGTAGAGGGGATTCATTCCTGAGCTACCGACATCTTGCACACGCAGTCATCCGTCAGTAAGACATCTGGAGCCGCATAGTTCCCGTTTAGAACTTTTATTCAGCCTGTCACACGACACCAAGTAGCATACATGTATGCCAACACTACAAAATGCACATGTCCACATGTCCACCAGACCTGAAAAAGATTAAATCTTCTTTCCACCATCAGGACTTCTGCATGTAGCTAGAACCTTGTCATGTCAGTGCAACTGAAAGAGACTGGCCTGACTACTGACACCAGGTAGCATATGCCAACACACTTCCTGACATAAAGCATTCAACCTTAAAGACAGTGGCCTGGCTAGAATTTAAGTGTCTGCCTGAGTTAGTGTGTGTCAATGCAACAGAAAAACTGGACTGTTGCAGTAGATAAAAGTGTTTGCTAGCTACTTGAGTGTGACAGCAGGGCAACAGAAAGACTGTGTCTAAATCTGGGCACCCAGTAATATAACTGGTAAACTGACATGCTGAAAGAAAGAAAGTCCTAAAGCCTTAAATAAAATACACTAAGTCTTAAGACTTAGAGGAAACAAACCAGTTAAAAAAATTTAAGAAACAAAATCTGCAGATCACATAACACGATAAGTATATAATTTTTAACATCCCATCTCTGACCAACAGTCAAACTAACATACATGTAGTTTCATGACACACAGTGATCTCCCCATTGAATATTTTTGATTATTGATTGACTATTGATTCATTTATTGATGATTTTGTTATATTCCAGCCTCAGACAGTGACCATGGCTGCAGCTACATGGTGCCTAGTAGACTGGCCAACAGTCTAATATTAGAATATCTATTGATCGATTGATTATTTTGTTCCAGCAACAGACAGCTACCATATGACTCCACCTACACAGCGTCTAGAAGATTCAGTAAAGATTGATTATCAATTTATTATTGATAGATTATTGGTTATCGGTTATTGATCTGTTACAGCATCAGACAGTGACCATGACTCCACCTACACTGAGCCCTGCAGACTTGCCCCCCAAAATCAGCCTACCTCCCTGTTGATTGTTGATTGATTGATTTTTATAGATTATTGATTAATTATCGGTTATTGATTTTTCTGTTCCAGCGTCAGACAGTGACCATGACTCCACGTACACGGCTCCCGGCAGAATCGGCCCGCGACCCCGACCGACCTCCCCAACCTCGGACGCCGGCTGCCAGACGGACCCGGAGTTCGCTTTCTCCGACACAGAAGTGCAGACCGACGGGCTGGACAAGTTTGCATACAACAGTCAGTACAATTTTATATTGATTTGAAAGACCTTAGACTAGATTTCAATGATTTCAGTTTAACCCTTGTCCTACAGAGCCCATATGTAAAAAAAATGTAATACATGTACCTGTATATGGGTTGCACATACATGTACAGTACCATCCATATAGCACCCTGTATAGGTACAGGTTGGGAGTATTTTTCATGCACCACATCACACCACAGCGAAACCTAACAAATGCGGAAGTAACTACTACGTCACTTTGTTGTGTCAAAAATGCCAGCAGGACAAGGGTCTGAAAACATATAAGGCAAGATTATCATTATGTATAATTTTTGCAACAGTTTACTACAATCTTTTCTTGTTGATGACATTCCAGTAACCTGGGGATACCAAATCTTATGATTGTATGAACAGTTGAGAACCAGACTGAGCTTACAAATGTACCTGCAATGGCCTTTTAATGACTTTCTTTTTGTACACCGTAACAACAGCTAACAATAACATGTCATTTCATACAGAGACTTCCTACTCATAACTGGTATGAACCCTGGAAGATTAGCCTTTTGGCTAAAATAGGATAACGAAATAAAGAGAAATAAAGAGATAACTTAAAGGATAAAAGCATCATTGTAGATCATTCCGGTTGATCAATGAAATATTCTTCTTCACAGGAAGAGACCCGACCTCAGTGGAGAACTTCAAGAGCCAGATTGAGACCATCGTCACGGCGATGGCACAGCCCATTGTGTCAGCGGGTAAGTTCAACACTGAATTTTTGGTACTTTTGCTTATGACGTTTTATTATGTTTTGAGAATTGAGATTTGACTTGTCTTCTTTGTTGTGACCAGTGGGACATTAGCTCGTAAGCTAAAAACTGGACCAGGATCACTTTCCTTTCCCATTTCTACGTATTATAACAAACTATTGAGTTCGTGATCCCAGATATTTTCTTAATTTCTCTGTCTTTTTTATCTGCTGACAATTTTATCTGCCGTAGAAAATATCAAATTTAAAAGATGTAAATATGAAATTGCTACAAATAAGAGATTATCAAACCATGAAACCTTACGGGACCTTAGCTTAGTATCCATATAAGATAAGATAACATAAGATGAATGATTGTGTTTTGTAGAACCGTAGGTGACATTTCAATAAGGTTTCCATAATATTATGGTTCCTTTTTCCCTCTAACATTGTGCAGAGGCCTTTGAAAAATCTGCAGATGTCGTGTTTAACAGAATGATTTTTTTTCGCAGCTCTTGCAGCAGAGAGGCAACAGCAGTGACTGACTGTTTCCAAAATCATACCCAGTCGCTTGAGTAACATCTTTGACAAAGTGCATGATAATGACAAAGGTTTTAAAATTGATACATATACAGTATCAGGATACAGGATTAAGTTTTCTTACAGAGAATGGCTTTGAAAACTCTGCAGAAATCAGATGCTGTGTTTAACAGAATGATTTTATTTCACAGCTCTTGCAGCAGAGAGGCAGCAGCAGTCCCAGATGCCTCAGAATGGCTCTAACCCTCCGTCGTCGGGCGTCGCCAGCAGCCTGGGCATGGCCCTCAGGGTTGCCGAGGACGTGGTGGACTCTGCCATTGAGAAGGCGGGGAAGATAGCACGGCCACTTCCCACCACCAGAACATCCACTGTGAGTACATAAAAAAAATTATACTCAGCATTAATAAGCATAATTGATCAAAGCTTGAAAGGAGCACACAAAAAAATACTGGTAGATAGGAAAAAAATTGTCTTGTGTTCTTTGTCTGCCTTGGGAAGTGATTTGGCAAGATGACGCTTAATTTAGTATTGACACTAATGTGGAGGGTCTAGGATTATGATACTGATGGTTAATTGCTGTACTCTTGAGAGGTGATGGTCACCAGTACTAATGGCTAACTGCCGTACCCTAAAACGGTGATGGTGACAGTGGTGTTGAGGGTTCGGAGTGGGATATCATGGATAAACAGCTGATGGAAGAGTTGCTAAGCGATGTGATTACTGATAACTAATGGCTAACTGCTGTACTCCAGGACCTACATTTGTAAGTGGTGACAGTTACCAGTACTAACTGCTAACTGCCGTACCCTAGAATGGTGATGGTGACAGTGGTGTTGAGGGTTTGGAGTGGGATATGATTACCAGTACTAGTGGCTAACTGTATACTCCTGAGAGATGATGGTTACCAGTACTAATGGCTAACTGCCGTACCCTAGAACGGTGATGGTGACAGTGGTGTTGAGGGTTCGGAGTGGGATAGCATGGATGAACAGCTGATGGAAGAGTTGCTAACCGACGTGAAGGCCCAGTGCCTGAGGAAACTGGCTGGCGCTATAGTGGAGGAGGTGAGGTGGAGGGTGCTTGGTGTGTTCTGCTTAGTTTGGTGTTATCTCTATGATTTCTTTCCTGTAACTGTTACGGTTAAATGCCTTTCTTCCTCTTCTGCTCAAACCGTTCAGTGTTTTCTTTCTTTCCGCAGCCCTTCATTTAAGTTCGTTGTCCTATTGCGGTTTAGCTACATGTATTTGACTTCTTGTACGGTACCGTAACTTTTCTGTTGGCACAAAAAAGTTAATTATTGATACAAATATGTCTGTATTTCTACTCTTACTAGAGGAGATACTGTTATTATTACATCTAGTTTGACAATGGTTGATGGAACCAGATGTATTTCTGCTCCTTTTTCAAAACTGTCTTTTAATTCCTAATGAATCAAGTTTGAACTGCAATTTCAAACACAAGAAATTGGACTTACCGAAATTTTCAACTGTACAACTGACTCTTTGTTAAGGAATGAGCAATCCACCACTTCCGTGGCGTCACGCAGATAACACACATGACTCCGTGAGTGGTGGATCATAGGTGGAGATTGCAGTTCAAACTCATTTTGTAATGACTTCTACAAACACAGATGAACTTTCAAGGTAATTTAACTCCTGTTGCTTGAACCTGCTTCTGTAGATGGGGATACAGACAGAGCGGGACGGTCCATTCCTGGCTCCTGTGCAGGAGGAGAGGGAGGAGGAGGCTGAGACAGATGGCTCGGCGTTCCGGCCGCTGTCAGACCGGCTACGGAGGAAACGCGAAGAGAGTGTCAGGAAGGTGGAGCTGGACAACGAACCAGCTCTGCTGTATGAAGGTGACTAAGTCTTACTTACTGGCCTTAATGCCAGTCCCGGCATGTAGGGCAGCAGCCAAGGTTCTCCAGTTCCCTCTGTCCTGGGCTATTCTCTGGATGGTATCCCAAGTGTGGCTGAAGCTCTTTAGTTCTTTCACAACAGTTTACTGTTCTACGCCAGGTGATCTTAGGCCGTCCTTGTTTTCTCTTCCCTTCAGGTGTCCAGTGTAGTGTTGTTCTTGTTAAGTCATTCGGGTCTTTTCTCAGCACATGTACTTTCCATTTCCATCTCTTTCTAATGATGATGGTTTCCATACATTCTTGTTTTAAATTACATTTATTTTAAAGTTCTTTATCTAAAATGGTGTTTGGTCAAAAGATTTGTATTAAAGATGAGGAAGGGAAGAAAAGAGAAGCAAAAAGAGAGACTAAAAGAACAGAAAAGGAGTGAGAGCATGGGAAGAGAAAATAAAGCATCAGGAAATTGGAGCTCAATAACCCTTGAGAATTGTCAGCTTCTGTTTGGAAATTGTTAATTTTTACTTCATGGCATAAGGTCCAATTTTTTCTCTGTCAGGAACTAACAACAGTTTCTTCTTCCACCAGGTAAGAAGAGAAAGGGTTACGTGGACCCAAAGAAGGGAAGCATGCTGGCTAGAGCAGACCTGGACTCTACTCTGGGTAAGAAACTTAATGTTTTTCATATTTTGTTCCAATCATTTGTTTTGGTTCGCACTTTCTTTGCAGTTGCAAGTTTTATCATTTTGCATTCATTTGACAAAGAGCACTTGTATTAGTACTCAGTTCGCACACTTACTGTCTTAAATTTATGTTTTGTTTTGCACATTTTTAGAATGTACTGTACCTGTGCAAAACCCGTAATGTATTGTGCATATCAGAATGTTTCATATAAGGTCGTATTTGTGCATATAAGGTTAACATCCCGTCTGTAGTTTCCAAAGGTTGTGTCGGAAAAATATTGTCTGCAACGGGCAAAATTCTGATACAACATTGACCAGATATACAACCTGAAAAACACAGTTTTGCGCAGCTGCAGGACGTTCTATTTATTTATTTATTTATTCTGCATGCTTTATTTTTATTTTCCCCCTTTTGTTTCGGTTTGTAGCATCTATAATTGGGGAGGAAGCCCCTGAACAGAAGGCGGAGTTCACGACGGAAATGAAGTTCACAGCCGTGTACAAGACCAACGATTCAGCTGTCAGTGGGAAGGAATCACCCACAGGTCTATAATAACTTACAAATAAAAATGATATTATAATAATTATGTATAATAATGATAATGATAATAATGATAATGATATAAGACGGAGATGAAGTTCACAGCCGTGTACAAGACCAATGATTCAGCTGTCAGTGGGAAGGAATCGCCAACAGGTCTATAATGAATATTCATGAAATAGGGGAAAAAGCAACAAAAGCTGATTTGGATTCAAGTCAACCTATAGCCTGCTTTAATGGATGTAAAAGGAAAAATTGACATGATAACTCTAGGATACAATTTCCTTGTAGCCAATTTAATTTCACAATTTAATTACAAATTTGACTACTGAATTGTGACTTGATCTTGACTATGTTTACAGAGCTAATTATAATTTCTTTGTTGTTCTTACATGTGTACTTTGTTTCTTTTTCTTTTTCCTTTAACTACTAGTTTACAGATTGGACGTGCTTTTTTGGTCTTTAAGCTTTTATTTGCTTTCCTAGCTTAAAGGATGTCAATGCTGTATCTTGGACTATGGAAGAAAGTAAAAAAATCCAACATAGTGTCATGAATGTTAATTCCAGTCAAAAAATATGAGTGACACATTTTTTTACTCCAGGGTCCATCGACAGAGACGATCTTCTAGACGAAGACCAGAACTGGATGATCCCGGAGCCCCGGCCAAAGCGACTTCTCTCACGAAAAATCAGCGGAAGCATTGAGGCACTAAACTCGGAAACGCCTCTGGACAAAACTCCGTACGACGACCAGGATTCTGTCGTCAGCGAACCTGAAGAGAAAGAAGGCTCCGACGACGATACAATCGTGTTAGAAAAAGAGTCGAGGACACCGACAAACGGTTCACTTTCACCCGGCGAGATTCGTAAATCAGACTTTGAACCAGATCAGGTACAGAAATACGAAAAAGAGTGGCAAAAGAACAAAAACTAAGGAAGAAGAGGGAACTAGAAACAAAGTCTTCACACAACGATTCGTGCGATCACGATAAAACTTCCCTGCAGAAAAAAGTGCAAGCGACATCCAAACAACAGAATGTGGACAATGAAGAGCCAGCGGATGATTTTAACCTAAACAAGTTGGTGCACATACACGGACAGTTGGACAGTCTCGACACGCAACTTAAAGGAGTTTCCACAAACTCTGCAAGAACAGGGAAAACGAAAAAGAGTCCAAAGGAAAGAAAGTCGTCGGAAGAAGGATATTATTCTGCAAAAGGAGAGTCGATTTCCTCGCCTAGATCTGAGGTTACGGAAGAATTTACAGGTACCGAAACGTTGCAGCTTGT